AGGAAGAGGAGGAGGAGGAAGAGGAAGAGGAGGAGGAGGAAGAAGACCCAGGTGAGGGGTAGGAGGAGGAAGAGAAGGAGGAGGTGAGGGAGGAGCAAGGAAAGAGGAGGAGGCAGAGAAGACAGAGGAGGAGGAGGAGGAGGAGGAGGAGGAGGAGGAGAAATGTCGGACCACATGGTGCTGCCACCTACCTAATGCCCTGCGCTGACATGTCATCCAGTGGCGCCACCTAGTTTCATCCGGTTCTTCTCTGTCGCACAGACGTTACCTGTGAACAACAAGACGAGCGAGTTACGCTGTTCGAAGATCCGCGAACGACACCGTCGCCACCTGGTGGCGATCAGGAGACTCTCATGCAGACGTGTGTCGGTACGTGACATTATATTTCCGAGTCCGGCGTCCATATATTCCCGTCGGGTCACAGAACAGGGCAGGAGTCCATATTACACAAATTTCCGTTGAGTCGGAAAACATCAGGAGTCTGAGATCCCAAAATCCCTGTCAGGTCACAAAAAATCAGGAATCTGATATCCAAAAATCCCCGCCGGGTCACAGTTGATGTACGTTCCGTTGCTTTGCGTTGCAGGGGGCGCCGCTCGCAAATTGTGCAGCCCGACGGAGCAGCATCTAGCGTTCCTCGGCCAGCCAATCCCGGCGCACGCTCCGCCGCGCCCGATTCACGGATATCCGCCGCCTCGACCAATCACAGAGCAGAGGTTCGCCGCATTGCCGACGTACGTCGGTTACGATGCGGAGTGCTACGTACAGCGCAACGACGATGGTGAGTACGGCGCCACCTGCGGGCGCGCGAGCGAACTACGTTCGCCAGCGTTGTTTGCTACTTTGAAGGGATATTAATTAAGTTAAAATTCTTTTTTATTTTTTATTTTTTCCAATGATGTTAGTATTATATTCATTATTATCTTACCAGCCGATATTATTTGTGTATCATATATATAAATTTTATATATATATAAAATTATAATATACGCTATATATATATATAGTGTATATATAAATTATATATCAATATATATTATTGGCCAATTGTGACATTTTCTGTTGATAGAGGGCGCTGTGCATGAGATGGTCGACACGCTACACGACCTGTGTGCGGGAACGGAGCCAGCGCCCGACGCCGCGTACGACAGTGGCGACCCCTGCATTGCTCGTCGCCGCGACGACGACCTCTGGTACCGGGCGAAGGTCGTGCGGCAACACGATGGCGGCGGCGACGTAGAGGTAATGTAAAGATGTGAGGATTGTCACGTACGAGCGTTTTACGCACGTAGGGGGGGCCACTGATTCACGCTGCAGCATTTTACGCATGTAGGGGGAGCCACTGATTCACGCTGCAGCATTTTACGCATGAGTGGGTGACGCACGATTCAGCGCATGCAGCATTTTACGCACTGTAGGGGGGGCCCACTTGATTTCACCCTGCAGCATTTTACGGTCAGTAGGTGGGAGCCACTATGTCAAACAGCTGCATGCATTTTACGACAAGCAAAGCCAGGCCACGAGTCACGCTGCCGCATTTTACGCATGTAGGGGGAGCCACTGATTTAGCGCGCAGCATTTACGCACAAGGTGGAGCACTGATTATTCACTGCTGGCATGCCATTTTACGCATGTAGGGGGAGCCACTGCTACTTTGTTTATCGTGTTTTTTCTGCACCGCAGGTGTTTTACGTCGATTACGGTAACAGCGAAACTCTGGACGTGTCGAGATTGAGAAACCAACCCCATCTACTGGCGCAAATAATAAACATTCCGTAACTTCTGGCTAGCGCAGTGCAAGGCTGCGTCATATGTTTCGACTCCACCAGGTGGTCGCCTGCGATGTACCGACGGTAACGACGCTGGAATAACAAAAAAAGAATACATGATATATCGTCAATCACATTTGCTCACGGTAACAAAACAGGGTGAAGATGTTTGTCATGTACACGACAGTGAGAATATTGTCATGGCTAAGCAGCCACATGTAAAATATTGCCGTTCAGGTAACACGACAGTCTGGTGTCGTCAGACGATAACATAATGTCAGTTTTTATGTTCATATGTTTGTAGATATGTTTCACATGTTGTTGTAGGTGGGCTGGCCGGTTGAACGGACATCCCCTGCAGGTCTCCATGACGATGGATTGATGGTGGAGGACGTTACCGCCATCTTGGCAGCGACCTTCAGCGAGCGCCTACTGTCCAAGGCTACCATGGCGCCATCTGTGATGACTGTAGTAAGTAACAATGAGCGGTTTGTTTTATTAGCTCATGCTGACAATAGTCGATGCAGCTTGTAGAATTCGCTTGAATCGTTCCAGTGTCGTGCCGTTTCCGTCCGCCGTTCCCTCGTCCGTCAAACAGTTGGGCACAAATCTTAAACCGCTGACGCACGGTCACGATATTCGGGTCGTTGTGGGGGACGTCAAAACGAGTTGGGATGTACCGAAGCGGGGTCAATAGGTCAAAGGTCCAATAGTGAAAAGAAGGGGAACATCACTCCTAACTTAAAGCAGTAAGGGAGAACTGCAGAAATTGGCGGCACAAAATCTAGAACGGGCTCGACCCTAGCTTGTGATCGTTCGGTGTATATGCCATCATCGAGGAAACCATCTCGTACCGAAATTGATGGTCACAGGTCAAGGTCCAATGGGCACAGGGCAGCTTTAGAGATTTTTTCTGAGGACATGTCTACCGGAGGGATTGAGTAAAACTTTTGTTTCAGCGGGGACCTAGCCATTTTTTTTAAGGGGCTTAATTGAAAGACCATGAAATGTCCTTCGCTGACATGCGAAGAGTACGTGTCCGATAACCTTTGACACCTCAGAAGAGGTTAAACATGTTGATGTTGACTGTTATATCAAAGGAGTGAACTGCTCTTTGGCTATTAGAGCCCCCTCCCTCCACCCCCCCTTCCCCCCCCCCCCCCCTCCCCCCCCCGCTTCCCCATCATCGGCCCTCCCCCACCCCCCACTGCGATAGTGGGCGATGTCCCTATACAATGATGTGTACTGCAATCTGCGTGTGTCTGTCATATCCTGCGCCTAACAAATGTGGTACTACGCCGAACTGTAAATTTTAACGTTATAATCGTAGCAAAACAGACCTCAGATGAAGCCCAGACGCTCTGCCGGCTCTGTAGTAACAAGGTAGGAGCAGCTTATTCAAGTAATCCGCAAAAGAATCGTCAAATAAAACGGCAAAGTTTCGTATTCGACTAATCACTGCAACATGGTTCAGCATTTCACCGTTGTATGCTCTCCTTCTTAATACACTCTGGGACATGTTGTATAGAATAAAAGTTTATCACATAGTTAACATAGTTTGACATAGTTTAACATAGTTATCATAGTGACATAGTTTAACATAGTTATCATAGTGACATAGTTTAACATAGTTATCATAGTGACATAGTTTAACATATGGTTGACATAGTTTTAACATAGTTTATCATAGTGACATAGTTTAACATAGTTATCATAGTGACATAGTTTAACATAGTTTGACATAGTTTAACATAGTTAGACATAGTGGGTGTCATAGTTTATCCACCACTAAAAGAAATGTTCTAAGTTCAACAAGTCAAAAATTCAATGGCTTATTATTATTTATTATTATTATGTAAATGTTCTGTTGCAGGTGCCGGCGTTGCCAAATTTTCAACCGCCAGTGCCTGCCACCTATTGGACAGTGCTTTGAAGCGTATTTGTCACACCTGGAATCGGCGAACGAGGTATGCTCTTGTGTTTGACTCGAGTGTGAGCGTGAGTGTCTGTCATTGTTACACGCGTATCGCGCTTACAACACTGAGATGCGAGGGTCGTGAAATATCACACATTCCCTGATATTATCTTTTCTCTCTCATTTTAATATTTTCGTCTGTTTTACATCTCTTTCTCTTCCCCCCTCTCTCTTTCTTTATCTCTCTTTCTCTCTCTCTCACCTTCTATCCCCCTCTTCTCTCTCTCTCTCTCTTCTCTCTCTTTTTCTTTCTCTCTCGCATCTTCTCCTCTTTCTCTCTCCCATCTCTCGTCTTCTTCTCTCTTTCTCGCCTTCTTCTCTCTCTCCTCCTCTCTCTCTCTTTCTCAATCTCTTTCTCTCTCTTTCTCGTATATCTTTTCTCTCTCTCATCTCTCTCTCCTATCTCTCTCTCACGCCCTATCTCCTCTCCCTATCTATTCCTCTCTCTCTCTCTCTCTCCTCTCATCTCTCTCTAATCTTCCCGTCTCCTCCTCTCTCCATGTCCTCCCTGCTCTCTTCTCTCTCTC